GGGTTGTAATCTTGTCTTCCTTTTACCCGAATAGCTAAGACTACATCTAATGGTCACCTTAGCAGTCAATTCCGAAAGCATATCACATATTTTGCAAAATGCAGTTGAAACCACTTGTAACTTTGGTTTATAAGGGACAATATGCTTTAATTAATGCTATATTAATATGTTATTAAGCTGATCTCATCAGGAGTCCGCTCTTTCGCGAAAGTAATGTTATTTTATCTTTTTTCTTGCTGTTGCTGAGTAATCAGTCACATTTATCATTATTTATCGGATTTCGTATCTTTGAATGTTTGTTGTTGTAATTATTTCTAATTTATTAATGATTATCTCACTTCCGCAAAACGGTATGAGTAGTTTGTTGTCACATCTCACCACTTAATAACATTCATTTATCTTCCAAACTGAGTTGTTATTCATTACATTACCCTTTCTTTCAAGAAGCTTACTTAACACTGCTATGAATGTAGCTTCTTTATGATATAACAGGTGTAGTTTGGCTATTTGTAGGTCGAAAGGACATCGATGAAACAGAACAGAAGAAGTCAGAAGTAATGCGGCAGTTTACTCGTCAACTTCAAGAACGAAATGAGATGGATCAAGCAGAAACAGCAGCATCAGCGACGCCTACTCCACCATCGACCAAGCCAAGTAAGTGCTGTTTTTTTTTTTTCAACGTCTTCCGCTGCTCTTAGCCCATTTTACAAGATCTTTAGCCATTATTGTTTCTCAAGTAATAGATTTTTCTTATAGATTCAGTTTCTCCTGAGCCTCCTGTGGAAGCAACTTCCAGTTCAGCGTCTGCGGAAGAACAAAAGCCTTTAGAGAAAGAATCTACACCAGAAGTTAGAGAAGATTCACAACAAGAATCAACACCAGAAATGAAACCACCTGAAAGCCAACCAGCGCCTGACGAACCTGCACCAGCCGTCGAAAGTGTAGCAGAGCCAGTCGCTGAAGTCGCTGAACCAGTTGTAGAACCGCTTGTAGAGGAGCCAAAACCCGCATCACCTTTTGAAGAAGAT